ATCTCTGATTTTCGGAGAAATCTAGACTTTTGCTAGCAATTCTGCTAGCACAATGTATAGATGAGATTTGCATTTCAATCATTTAAGATTAAGTTGTATTTGTCATGTCAGGTACCCTTTAAGAAGCTATGTTAATTAAATCATATACAGGTGGCTATTGTAGGTTCTAACAGGCTATTAACAAAGCAGGAGATAAATTAGGGTTCAAATGAGGGTTAGATTTAGGGGTTTAGTTTTGATTGATCCATTTGTAACATTAGGGGATTATCGGTAAATTGTGATTTATGTCACACTTTATTTTAACCCTTACCCCAATTTGAACCCTCACTTAACCCTACATGCCCCGTGTGCCTGAGCTTAGTGAATGCACTAACTATAATGAAAGTGTAAAACAATCTTTGCTTACCTTCCAGGACCTTGCTGTGTTACCTTCAGGACTTAGCTGTGTTACTTACCTTCCAGGACCTTGCTGTGGAGGAGTTCCCAGAATGTGTTCAAAGCCTCTATCAGAGTTCCCTACCGCAGCTGGAGCAGCACAGGCTCCAGCTGATTCCCCTCACCGGAAGTAATAAGGGTGGGGGATTTTCATGGGGTAGGGACATTTGCTAGAACACAGGCACTTATGAGATTAATCCACTTACTGTGGAATTCCTTCCTCTTGGGACTCTCTTCGGGTCAAGGCTAGGACAGGGAGGGGTGCAAAACCAGGGAGTGTTTTTGTTTGTTGTATGAATTGACCCCAGCTGCAACCTTATAAGTATGCATGTTCAAGTGAGTGCAGCTCTCTTGGTTTATATATTTAGGAGTCTAGGCCAACTCCTCAGTTTTGCACCCCTCCCTGCCAGAGGTGCCTCATTTCAGGGCCCGTGGTCAATAAGTTTATAATTTGATTAATTTAATTACTGAGCCAGAATCTCTCTAGTGTATTATGTGCAGTCCATAATGACCAAGGCTCCCCCCTTATCTGCTGGCATGATAGTGATAGACTTATCATTCTTTAAATTATTAATTATTGCCCACTCTTCTTTAGTAAAATTAGGATTTTTCTGATATCGCTTCCTATATTGTCCCCTTCTATGTCTCAATTTCCTCACATCTCGTTTTACTAAATTGGTGAAAATATCTACCTATTGATTTGTAGCTAGAGGAATAAAGGTACTTTTTGGCTTCAACCCTTTTTTGGCTTTAAACCTGTGAGGAGTGGTGTTGTAGAGACTGGTGTCTCTTCATTAGATGTACTATTCTGCCTCTCACCATTATTTGGGGCTTGTGGCGGACCCCCTGGTATCTCAACTGGGTACATCTGCCAAGCATGCTCCCTAGCTATCGCCGGGACACCAGCAGCAGTCCACCCACTAGCTGGTCTCTATGTCGCTTCCCACCCTGGAACAGGGTCCTGGATCCAGCTTCTAGTGAATTAACCTCTCCTGCAGAGAGTATAGCTGTTTAGCTGGTACACCCAAACACTAGTCGAGACTGAGTGAAGGGTGTAAAGGAACTGGTTTATTATGGCCAAGTTGCCTGGTTTTATACACAGCCCTCAGCATTGGGTATCCATTCAATGCAAGACAAGACATTCCCATAAATCTCTGTGCCTGGGAGGTAATTGCATTAAATATCAGTGAGATAATTATCTCAACAGAGAACAGAGAGGCAAACACAAAATGTAAAAACAGACAAATTCCCCAAAACATAATAAAAACATAAAATAACCCTACAAATAATACATTCCTAAACAGCCCTGATCTGAGCGCCTAAGTTCTCCAAATAGCATTTAGATCCATGCAGTATAGGGGAAATGTCACTGTGTTAAAGTTCTGACCGGCCGCACATGTGGTCCTATACCCAAAACAGTTCCAGGGCATTTGGTGCTTTGGCCAGTGAACTTCCGTGAGCTCATGTGTCCAAAATATAGGGTGCTCCACCTGACTCTTAGGTAGCGTTTTTGCCCCTTAGTCTCAGGCACCTTCCCTCCAAAAAGTGCTCTCCTGGCGGGTTGCAAAGTCGTTCAAAATCCGGACCAAGTTGTCCGGGAACTGCACGTTCACTTCATGCCGAAAACAGTTCCTGGACAATTTGTGGGTTTCTTCATGCGAACGGCTGCCAGGGAGCTAGTGTTTGGTTCCATTCGAATAAAGGGAAAGTGCAGAATCAGGGGCAACCGGGAAAGCTGCTAATGGCAACTGTGCAGGTTTAACTCCCGAACAGGGTCTTTGGTTACGGCCCATAGTCCTTGGGCAGGAAGCTAGCTAGTAGGCTCCTCCAGGAGCTTGTGGCATAGGCACGTTTGCAAGAGGGCTGAAAAGAAAAAAGTTTTAAGTTGAAGTGTTGCGAAAGAAACAATATAAAGAAACATAAGCCTTGTTAAGGGTGGCTTCTTGTTAGGTGAGAGTGGCCTACTTGATATATTGTGGATCGGTGTTTGTGTTTGTCTCGTATGCCTCTTGTGGTAACCTCCTCTCTGTGTTTGTTTGTACTGTTTCTGTCCCGGTCTAAAAAAGACACATTGGAGAAAGAGGAGGCAGAGGATGAAGAGGATGAACCCTCTGTGTCTGAGCGCCATCCCTGTATATTTTTTTCCTTGTGAGACCAGACGTATCTTTTCTCCCTTGTACGCTGATACCAGGTATAGACTTGTTCTTTAGTATAATCTATTGCAACTCTTTGGAGTTTTTTTCCTTTTATTTAGCATTGACCTGCAGAGAGCCCCAGGAGGAAGTATTTCCCAAGTAACTGGATTAATCACATAATAGCAGGCATTAGGCTGCTAGAGTAGGGCCTGCCAAGAATGGGGTACATTGACTTTGTGGCTGGCTTATCCAATGTATGATCAAATACTGTATTATTTTTTGCCTACGTGAGGTGTTTTTAAATAAACGTATTACAATCTGTGCGACTTTAAATTGCTGTTTAGTAAAGGAGTGAGTGTGCTGGAAGCCGTGTGTTAATTGGCCCCTGCAGCACACTATAATGTATGCATGTTCAGGTGAATGCAGACCTCTTTGTTTTATTTATATATATGTTATTTAAAAAAAAAAAAAATTACACCAAAATCACATCACTAAGCTAAATTTGTTTTGGTTCTTAGAGTGTCCCGTTAAGATGAAATAATTTTACTGCTGAGATTGTTACTTTAAATAAAAATTTTATATTTTAAAAGTCAAATGAAAAGTAGGACTTTTTAGCAAAAGTAAATAATTCTAGAAACATAGAATGTGACGGCAGATAAGAGCCATTCGGCCCATCTAGTCTGCCCAATTTTCTAAATACTTTCATTAGTACCTAGCCTTATCTTATAGTTAGGATAGCCTTATGCCTATCCCACGCATGCTTAAACTCCTTTACTGTGTTAACCTCTACCACTTCAGCTGGAAGGCTATTCCATGTATCCACTACCTTCTCAGTAAAGTAATACTTCCTGATATTATTTAAACCTTTGTCCCTCTAATTAAAAAAATAAATAATAATATCAGGAAGTATTACTTTACTGAGAGGGTAGTGGATGCATGGAATAGCCTTCCATCTGAAGTGGTAGAGGTTAACACAGTAAAGGAGTTTAAGCATACGTGGGATAGGCATAAGGCTATCCTAACTATAACATAAGGCTAGGTACTAATGAAAGTATTTAGAAAAATGGGCAGACTAGATAATAAAAATTTTATATTTTAAAAGTCAAATGAAAAGTAGGACTTTTTAGCAAAAGTAAATAATTCTAACAAAACAATTATTTATAAGTAACCAAAAAAGAACATTTTTTTTTTCGCTTTCCTTCTTATGCCAATGGATTAGAGTCTGGTGAAAGGTTTGTGAATAAACACACCTAATGAATATGCATGAGACTGTATAATTATACTCTGTCAGAGCCAAACGGTTTTCAAGCTCACTTGTAATTAAGAAGTAGAAATTCTTCCTTGGGGTGTTAAACTGTTAGTCATGTCTGTGTCTTTTTTAACAACTAGTGTCTGCTTAGATGCTATAATGAAATATCTTCCAGAAGTATATCTGTGGTTTTTGTCTCTCTCTGTCTAAGCCCTCGTACCAAATTCCCTGCTGATCCGATGGGCTCAATATGTGACGGGAAAAAAACTACTTTAGGTAAGTTTATAATGTATGTGTGTCACACAGCTATCTGTTCACTGAGTCAATGTCTTCGTATGATCCTTACGTTTGATTTACCAGCTCTGTAGTAAATAACAGGCATTCAGAAGTATAACAAGTGTGGTGTAAATATACCCTGTAAATAAGATGTAATTATCAGATTTTATTCTCCTTGGAACTACAGCGAAAGAATCTATTTGCATATGAATTGCGGATTATTCATGTAAATGATCATGAATTTGTTGTTTTTTTTAAAACAGATTAAGCCTTGTCTTAAAGTCTAAGCAAATTGCATTGTAGTATGGGAGATAAATTATTAGTATTGTAGTTTCTGTTATCACGTATTTTGGAAATAGAGATATCAATCAAGCTGCGGTGTAGTCATTGGGGGAGACAAACAGACCAAGAAAATAATGCAGAAAAAATACAGTGAAAAATAAATTCAAATATATATATATATATATATATTAAGGCAGGGCCTGAAGTTGTGGGACTCCCCCTCCTACCTTACTTACCTGATGGTCCAGACGTTCTTTTGGTCTTCCGGTTTCCCTGAATGGTTACAGTTACAGTGTTCAGCTCCTACCAACAGCTCGCCAGCTGCCTCACTCTGCTGAGTCTATCTGCCGCCCATCCTGCTCCTTTTCCCGCCTGACAGTGAGTGAGCATACCGGTATCATTGTACCAGTCTGCAGCATAGATATAGCCCGCCGAGGTCCACGGCTAAACGGCACACACAGGGGTACAGCAGACCCCCCATAGACCAACACGGAGGTCTGCATAGCCTGGCATGCACTACACCGGGCAGCAGACCACACAGCGAGTACACCGTCTGTACTCACATTAAAAAAGGCATTAGATTACAACCCGCTGGCTTCTGCCCCCCCCTCTCCCCTCCCCAGTAACAGAGACCACAGAGGGCTCAACGGCACGGCAGAGTTACACCAAGCACCCAAATACAACTCATGCTACCATACCATTTTTGACACCAGCAACGTTACACTGGATTGCAACTCTTATCATCCCCAGCGTTGGGGCGCCCACTTTGTCACTAACTCACATCCCTGCCAAAGTCACTTAACACATCCATCCATCCATCCCACCCACGAAGGGTCTTACTTACCCGTCAGAAGGGGAATCACTCACCCGTCCGGAACTCTCTCTACAGGCTCTAGTCTGCTACTGCCGTAAAGCACGTCCACTTTTGCAACACTACAACGGCAAAGCAGGCTGTAACCTCTAGGGGCAGTGCAATCACTCACAGGCACTTAAAGAGGAAGTTACATCACACATTTTGGTCAATGGCAAATACATTTAAATGAGGTTGGGAATATTATTACAACTTCATAGTGGATTATTAAGTACAATATGTGGTAATAATAGAATATGCATAAAGGTTGTGTATGATTTTTTTCCTCTCGGGTGGTTATTTATGCTGGTCAAGTTACGTAACAACTCTGCTTGGGGAAACATGGTACATATATATATTGTCCCGAAATATCGGTTGTATACTTATGCAAGGGTGTTGCATTAAATCTGCAGATCTGCTTTCAGGATTAAAAAAATAAAAAAATCTCACTTGCCCATCCGAACCTATTCATACGTAACCAGCGATCTCAGGTAGGTGGTCATAGGATATGCTACTGACAAGTAGGGTGGCAGGGTTCACCGATGAAATACCAGTACATTCTCATAGGTACCCTATACCTTCAATTCTGTCATCCATCATCTGGTTTAGGCCTTCCCCCCCTAGCTGGAATTAGACTAATACAGTACAACCAAGCAGATTTTGCGCATTCAGGTAAGTTGCTTCGATTGCGGCAACAACGTTGTAATACAGAATCCGACCAGTAACAGATGCATCGGCACGGTCACTTAGGTACTTCCTCAGGGGCACCTTCTGCCACAGAGTTAGAGGTCCCGCGAGGCCAACACCAATCCTCTACAAAAGAGGTAATACGCCCCTCGGGCCAAATCATAGCTAGACGCCTCGCATGTTGCATAGCAAGGGCATCACTCGTCACAACCCCTCCTCAGTTTAATGACTCATTTCTTGTAAAACCACATCCAGCATATTACCCCCTCGTGCCAACTATAGGTAGAGACAATCCAGCCACTTGGCAACCAGTAGGGACTCATCTGTCACCAGTCTAATGAATTGTTTTGCCACTTTGGCACTAGTTAAAACAAAGATATACACCCTCAAGAGCAACTCACAATTCCTAAATATATATATATATTTCAGTATGTCCCAAGTTCCAGAAGAAGGAGATGACATTTCTAGTCCAAGTTCTCCAATCTAGGACGACCACCCCTAAAAAAAAAAAAAAAAAAAGTGTCACAGGCAGTTCATCTTCAATTAGAACGTGGACCATCCCACGAATCACGGCCGAATTATACACGGCAGCATACACTTTCTAGCGACTGCCCCCAAAGCAGAACTATTTAGGCTAACAGTTCAGATGCGGGGGTAGGCACATAGGGCACGAGCAATGCCAACCTGCATACCATGATCAACTCTGTAGTAACATCCAGGGGGTAGTTCACAATAGCCTGTAAAGACTGGAAGCCCGTAGCTGTCCAGTCGCGACACCAGAAACACGCGCAACCAATATTCCGGCCCCCTCCCTTTCCCAACCCAGTAATACCTATACGCCATCATCTTAAGGTCTTAAGTCAATTCCCCAACCCATATGGTGCCAGCAAACCTCAAGCAGGACATCCTGGAGGGCAAGGACGTTAATCTTGTCTCGTTTTTCTTTGCCTCCCAGGGTTTCACAAAGAACTGCTCATACAACTAGGGCTATTGCAAGCAATCCATTACGACTCAATTTCGCCACCACAGGGGGCAATTACATACGACAAAGGTCATGTTAGACCACTCAAATCCTCCCTATATGGCCCTTTCTCTGCATTTACAACTCCAGTGGTCCTTAAGGCCAGACACAAGACTGAGTAAATTATCCATCAGTATAGTTATAACCTTCATGTTCTTGGGTCAGTACAGACACCACTGCATTCCACAGGTCCCAGCCTGTATTCCTGGCAATTGTGTCCTGTACGTCTCCCCTCAGGTAATTGGACTCAGCAGGTACATAGCATATTTAGTTATGGCATTTCAGCACCTCAATCATGTTCTCCGTGTAGACCTACTACGATCATAGGTTATGCTGAAGGTTGTGGTATGATATCAGTATGACCATATTTCAGTTATGACTACGCTGTCATAAACCGCAGCTTTCAACTGATCTACAACGTAAATAAACCACCAACCCTACCCCATCAATTCCACTCAGACTTACATTACCTCTCAGTACTGGAACTACATTGGGCCTCTCTCAACCTCTTATGCATAGTCCTCACACAAAGCCATCTACGGGCCTTTGCAACATACTTCAGGTAACCTTATTTGCAACCCTTCATTTAGGCACTGCGTTCACATACCATCTGGATATGAATGTATGCATAAATTCAGCTATCTCACAGCTTTCTACCTGTAATCAACCACATCTTACAGTATTATACATCTATACATCTGCTATATCTTGCACTGTCCACATACGGCCACACAGTAGCTCTCCTCACGACCCTACCTACACTGCCTACTCCTGTCCAAAAGCACAGAAGGTAATAATTCCCTCTAACAGACGTTCTCCTTACCTCGCTTATTTCACTACTTCAGTCTAGCATATTGTCAATTTACGACGCGTACAACATGCCACATACATTATCGATACGTACTGAATTTATCAGGTGGGTCATTTAAGACCTTATTAGCCAGCCGCCGGTGGGCTTACATAGTCAATTCCATACTGGACTATTCCCACATCACCACTGCGTATTAGACCAGTTCATATACATCATATTTATACTGTCCTTCCCGCTTCTCTGGCTATTTGAATACTCGGGCAACCATGGTACGAGTTACCACATTAGTCATGCACGTACAAGCCTATTGTACGGCCTTACCCAGCATCTAGGTTTCAAGTAATTCCAGCTTACAGGGGAAACCATGACCTTATCATACCTCGGTCAATTTTATTCACAACCACGCTCTTTATATGTCACATACAACCCGCCCATGGGCTATCCACTATAGCATAATGGCAGCCCCTCGTTTGGGCTATTACATACGGCATAGGTATTATAATTTCAACATAAGTTTGCAATTTTGTCACCACCTACCACAGCATGCCTCGACACGTGCCCTCACTAGGTCATCACTCTCATGTTACACACGACCCACCGCAAGCAATCCATTACGACTCAATTTCGCCACCACAGGTGGGCAATTACATACGACAAAGGTCATGTTAGACCACTCAAATCCTCCCTATATGGCCCTTTCTCTGCATTTACAACTCCAGTCACAGACATTTACATGAACTCCAATATTAGTGCCTGCTGGTAAACTAGAATGTCCCACATACTTCATACATATTTCAGGTTCTTCTAGCGGAAGGACACCCAGCGGGAACTCACCTAGGCACAATATATTTAGGTGTCTCTTCCCTATACATATATATGTCCTTAACTAGGGTCATCTACATATGTAGTCACCCTGATGCAACGGCTTACAAAAGCCTTCTTGCAATCTCAGGGGACAGTTGGCTATGGGGTAGGTGGCCGGTAGAAGTAAGCAGATCGAAGGATCCCTCAAACACTCTGCACGCTTCAAAGGTATATCCAATCGTAGCCGCAGCAGCAACATGGGGTCATTCTTGGGCAAGCAGACCGGTTCGAGGTTTCTGACAAGTTGGCAATGGGCCACGTCATAAACAAGTCCAGTCTTGTATCCCTTATTATGAATTCATCAGACAACTAACGTAGGGGAAGCCTGTCACCAATTTTATCTGGTATGTTACCACGTACCAGGCATTTACAATACAGCTGCTGACCAGTTATCTAAGTCTTTAGTTTCAGGCGTTCAGGAGGTCCCTAACAACGGCCTCACCAATAGCCACGATTGCTCCCCAGCTCCAAGAATTACCTATGGAATAGTAGAGTTGCTAAGTCACAGCAGGAATTCACACAGTTGGCCCTCAAAGAAATGCACACTGCTATGACAGAGCTTACTGCATATATCGAAGTTCATGTCAGATCACCACCTTACAAACTGGTTTAAGTATACAACTTTGGGGGCTCTTCGACACTTTTTGCCACATGAAAATAAAAATGTCACACAACACTATTAAGTTATATCTCCATTTAACACCACATCTTTTCAGTTACAAACACCATTCTCAAACCGCCATATACTTGGCTTTTTATGGTTTCCTACAACCTGAGAATTTACCATCACCAGGGCAACACGATTCCAAGCATTGCCTACGGTATTCTAACCTGGAAAAAAAAATACAGGATCACTACGTATTAAGCTTACCATCAACTAAGACGGGTCACGAGGTACTTATTCAGTAATACCACACCAACACGCATACCTCAGCCATCACAAGAATTAAGGAATGCATTTGTGTAAAGGTCATCGTAATATGCTAACTCCATGTCTTGTGTTTTCGTAATAAATATCTGTGATAACACTATATGGGTATTCCTTTTTGCCCACTTATTTACAGGCCTACCAAACACGTCGGTTTCGGCACACCGCTACCGCCTTTTATTAATATTGTGATAAGTATACTCACTTGCTATTTCATACTATACTGAAATGGCCCCTAACACAAATATATAGATTATGAATTTGTTTCCTTTTGGGAATCCAAATGTGTCATTGCAATCTGTTTGTAAACCAAGAAAGAATGCTCAGGTCACTGGAAAACCAGTAAGCCTTGGTATAGATTTATATTTATATTGGTATAGATTTACGATAAATCTATACCAAGGCTTATGCACATTATTCAACATGCTTTGCATTTTACTGTGGAGTCATTAAGGAGTTAACTACCCGGACAAAAAGTTCGCTCCTTCCCACAATGAATCAGAAAGGGGCGTTTGAACAGCCTCATTTACATATTCAAACGTTGAGAATTTTGGCGCGAACATAACGGTAGCGTTACCTGTTGGTGATTGGACTATCAAGAATTTCGCTAGAGGAACTAATTGGTATATAAGTCAGTACCT